AGGCCCGTCTTTCCTTTCCCACATTAAAAAACACACAACTTTCTAGCACAAAGCCTCACCTATAAAACTGACACCTCCTTCATTCCCTTGATTGATCTCTTCCTGTTGAGGATCCTGTTTACTGTCTTGCTGAGGTTCCTCTGCTCTGCGGAAATCGGGCTGATTTTCTACAGAGAGATTTCCCAACTGAGGATCCGTGACATTCAGTGAGAAGGGAGAAAAGAAAACAAAGAGGAAAAGATCTCAGCGGATGAGAAAGGGACCTGGAAGAGAAGAAACATCTTCCACAGATTTTCTAAGAAAAACATTTGAGAATTGGTAAAATTTGTAGGATTTCTTTCCTCATTTTCTTGACGCTTTGGAGTAGAAAAGGCCATCCCCGCTGGAACCGACCGAAAGGCATCATATTGTGTCATTGCACCTACAACAGGGCTGGATTGAGTGCAGTGCCAAGGGTAGAGGTAAACCTGAAATTTACTTCGAAAACTATGCAGATGAGGAGGATGCACCTTGTTTTAAAGTGGAAGAGGATCTCCCCAATATTGGGGACGGTTATTCAGTTTCAAAATACAATGAACACGGACCCCACATCTTCCTTTCAAGGACCAGAAAGAATAAATTCCACCAGAACAGCCTCAAACAGGGAGCAAGTGCAGGGGTCATGGGCTCCCCATTTCAGATTCAAAGTCCCTGGCATGGATTGCTCTCACCTCTAGCTCTTCCTGCTTTCTCTCTTCGGCCTGACTCAGACCCAGGAAACCTTCTGCCAGCGACACCGCCTGGGAAGTGGTCTCGGCTCCACATTCTCTCACCCAGCTTGACATCTCCAGGGGGAGGATGGTCAGGAACTGCTCCAAGATGACCAGGTCCAGGATTTGAGCCTTTGTGTGTTGCTCTGGCTTGAGCCACTGACGACAAAGATGGTGGAGCCGAGTGCAAATCTCTCGAGGACTATCAGCCTCCTCATAGGAAAATTTCCTGAATTTCTGGCACTGCATATCTGAGCTGAGCATCTCCTCACCTTGTACCTTCTGTGCTGTTCCTTCCCAGAAGGTCCCAAGACCTCCTGCCTTGAGAACATCAGGGTCTCTTCCTTCCCTGGGGCCAGATGTGTGTTGGGCTGCCATTTTATTCTGTACCAACAATGTCGCCATCGGAGTGCTGGAACTCCTCCCTTTCTGCGGAGGAAAGACTGCTGCGGAGGAAAGATGAGGCTATGGAAGCTCTGTAAAGCCAAGACTCTGCCATGTTAACCCAGCTAAGACCAAAAAGGCAAGACAGCAGCCGCCAATCAAACCTCCTCTCCAAAAATAAAAGGCAGGAGAATCCCAAGGCTGAGCTGAGAGACAGGCATGTGTTGCAGTTCCTTCACTGGACAGCCACTGCCACCCGGATGGATTTTTTTTCAAATTACTTAAAAGAAAAATAGTTTTGTGACACTATTCCTTCCTTTTGTGAGGTACAGTGCCACAGGAGATGGAGGTTTTATTCCTAACTACCGTAGCTTAGAGCTGCCTTTCTAGAACAGGAAAAGGGTTAGCCCAGGACAGAACCCTGATTTTAGGTGTCGTAATTTTTCTCATAATTATTAGCTAACACCTCTTAATTCCTGCTTTTTCCAGGGCTAAAGCCAAGTAAGAGGATTACACCAGTTAGCAGATGATGGATCGGTGGTTGTTGAACCAGTGATGTTTGCCAATCATCCTTTCTGAGTCTTCTCTTCTTGGGGTTACAGAGCTGTAGGTCTCTCCCAGGCTCCCCCCTGCAGCCCCCCAAGGAAACCCTCTGCCCTTTGATGGGAGCAATGAAGAATCATCTC